CGACACCAGAGGAATCAGATGAGCACCAATCCTCAAAAAGGATCTCTAATCCACGAAATTAATCACCGACTTCTGTAACTCTATCTTTACGCGTGTCCGTAAATTGCCGCACATAACCCAAGGCTCTTGTCATTTGGCATCGTAGATATGCACTCTATTTATCAGCATGATAAAATTCATTTACGGTTTCAGTGCTTTTCATTTCTGTATGGACACATTCTTCTATATACCACGTTTGTTTGCTTGGCGGTGCATTCTACTTCTGTGTCATTTATGAAGAGAGCTTCTTTTTTGACATTTGGCAGTTTCGAGAATGGGTGAAGATTGTCATTTCATGAATAGTTATGCATTCATTTACCAATTTATTAACAAATATATTTGATTTTGTCAACAATAATCTCAACTTGATTCAAGCCTTATAGAAGCATTAGCAACGGTCGTATTATAAAGTTTTGCAGGAGTACGTACGCCATGCCTTCAGTTCTAATTGTCTATTTACATGGAAAAGCGAACTATTCTATTTGGAGAGGTGAATCATGCAGATATCAGGTATGCAGTGATTCACTTGTAAGCATACGTAAAAAAACGTGTAAATAATAATTTGTCCCATGTTAAAAGCTAACATTAAATGTCAAAAGTTGTTATGCAAATCCAAAACATTCGCGTGCAGTAGCTCTTGGGGTTATTTCTGAAAATTACTCATTAATAACATGCAGTATGGCAAATCTCGAGGGTCACAGTCAAACTATCGTTTACAGAAGCCCAAAACATATTTCGCTTGTAATATAAGCAGTTAAATGCCTTTTGATGAGTTGCTGGTTTGAAGAATTTGCATTGGTTGCATGCCTGTCTTTCACTTTGGCGCATTCCAAATTCCCCGTCAAGCGATGGTATGGTTTAGGCTGCAGTTTGGTGATGCTACTTATAATTGTTTAGTAGAAATTATTCACGCCACTGCCACTCCACCAATTGAGAGGTGTAATTAATTAATTGCACTTTTATGAGAGCAAGTATTAGATTCACCAAGATTTTGAAGAAATTCCATTTTCTACCATGCCTAAGGTATTGATAGGTAGCGTAAATGGGATTCTTCGAAATGAGAAGGGCTGTCAGCGAGGTAAATGATTTGAAACAGTCACCTTGAGACGATTACGTAACTAATAAGGCAAGATGGTTACTGTTCCTTATGTGAATTTAAGTTAGAAATAATTACCATGTCACCCAAGCTTAGGTGCCTTAACAACTCTGCTTAAGTAATCGTTGAGATTTGGAGAATTGCATAGGGTTATCAAATTCATCTGCTTTTCCACAAGGTGAGCTCATACTAAAATTTGCGATATTTAAAAAGGAAACTCTCTTCTCATTACCAAAATAGTAAAACGTCCTCAGCATCTGAATACCAGCAAGACAAAGGACAAGAAAGTGCGCCAAGACGTGTCATGGAAGAATTAATTTTAATATCCCTTATTCGCAAAAAGAAGTTTCTAACATTCAGTGTGTACAACTTGAAGCCCAATCGCCGGTGACGCAAAATCGGCAGATGGAAAGTATTCTGAACATTAAAAGCACCAGGGAAGAAAATACATGCACCAACACGCTTCGTTGGTCAGGTAAGTGCAGGCACTCTGCAGCACGCGCATACACGCTTTCTCAGACTCCAATTTACCTATGAATTGCTTCATGAACTTGTCAAGCTCTGCAGAATCGCATGCTCATTGCTGAACAAAACGTTGGTTGATTTTCCAAATCTTCTACATGGCGAACTCCTCTTTATGCCGTGGTAAAGAGATGAAATTAAACTCCAAATACGTTACCATGTGTTTTATAAAAGTTAAAACCTATTACTTTAAGCTTCTTTCCTGTTGGCTTATGCAGATGGTATTTAGCATGTGGTCTGGTGTTAAGTCGTTTATTTTGTTTTCTGGTAAGGAATTATTGAAACGCTAGCGGATCATCAAATGTCATTGCAGAAGACTTTGAGCGTTTCCATTTATGCATTGTGTGTTATTTTGTTCGCAAATATAAACATTTTCTCCTTAGGCTAAATAGCCTTTATTTATAACTCCTCAGGTCGATGCTGAGCTAAAGGAATTACCATCACCGAACCTCCGGATGCAGTACTCTTCACCTGATGGTAAATTCATCCTTTCATTTCATGTTTTTTGGTTCAAAGTCGAGCGCTCAGGAAGGATAGATAATTTTTTGCGTTTAAATGACTTACACTTGTTCCTCAAAGCATGAAAATCTATTCATTTGCATTCCATTCAGTCTCAAGGATGAAACAAGTTACTCACGTGTTAAACACCGGTAAAAGTCGAAAAGAGCCTTATTTTTAGCCCTTAAACCGGTTACTATCGTTATCTATGTAACACGTGATCGTTTAAGCATTAAGCACTTTTAGGTTTAATTGTGCTTTTTCCAAGTCTGTAATTACCTAATGATCATAATGCGCAAATGGATTTGATAAAGTTTGTGCCATTAAGTACAATGCTTAAGCATGACGAACCACAGCACTGCGACTGGGAAATCTTGATGGAATCCCTTATCGCCTTAGCTCGCTACTGATTTTGGTCGGTTACATGAAGGCATCTAAAATGGGTGCTTTACTGCCGAGAAATGACCAAACATTTCTTTCCTAGCCGTATACGATGAGATATTGCTTCAGGGGAAGCTTTCGCAGAATTTTGTTATAGCTCAAAGCTCCTCTTCTTGTTCTGACTGTTGAGCGTTAAGAGTTGTGACAATCACAAAAATCCGTGCTTTAAAGGCACAGCTAACACTTTACAAATGACCATACTTATCATATTCTGATTTTTGTACCCTACTACCGCTGCGAATTCCGTAGTGGGTTTGGTGGAGCCCTTTGTTGGGTGGAATAATTACACTTATACAAGTTTAAAGCAATTTTTGGGATTCTATGCCAACTATCAATGAAATTGAGGGCAGGAGCAGATGGTCAAGTTTGACAATGGCAAGAGAGCAACCAGTTAGCTACTAACTATTCCTCAAGGAGAAGAAAGTCCTAAAAATATCCACTGCGTCCGCACAACAATACAAATCCAATGCCCATGAGCTCACAGCGAAAACGATCTTTTAGCTAACTGCGAAGATAATTGTTGTTTAACTTGTTTGAGGTTTCGCCTAGAAACGTAAAATAGGGCACAGCTTTAGTCTTTGCAAGCTACGGGTTCCATTGACGGGAGCTCATTTAATAGCAACAAATGGAGCCTACACACAACAGAAAATGAAGAAATAAAAAATGCAACCTCGCTGAGCATAATGCGACAGCTCAGGAGAATGATGAATGTTCAACCAACTGTACAAACCAGATAGTCGTTATGATGTCAAATAGAGTTAAAAATATGGAACGGAAGGTGCATAAGAGCACACAAAACTGATTGCAAAATTCATATTTTCAGATTTAATCGACTTAAATAGATTGGATTGGAGAGCTGACCAGCCTGCCCGTCGAGTGAGAGGGGATGGTGAACGGTTCCATGGAGATTTTCAAAAGGAGGTGGGATCACGAAGTGACAACCAACAAAACCATAAGAGTCAATCTTTCAGTTCCCTTAATCAATGCAGCAGTGTTATTTTACGAAGGGGACATTCGTTTTCACCTAAAAATGATAGCAAGGCGCCTGACAGGCTGGCAGAATATAAAAAAGGGTAAATCTTTTATCTATGGTGAACTTTTAATATTCATTTCCAAATTTTTTGAGTATTATTGTAAGAAAGTCGTGATAACATTTATAAGCTTTAGCCGAATTAACTAGGCTTCAATTCTTTCATGGTCCCCAAGAAATAGCCTTTGTTTAGTCGGTTTTGGCACTCTCACTTTAAATTCACTCCATACTAACTTGATGATAGTTGTAAACGCGTGCACCCTCTCTCAATGGCGCCACATTCAACCGAAGCACGTCCAGTATACAATCAAGAAGTCGGTGACTCTTCTTCTATTTCACAGCGCTGGAAAAGCGATGACCGACTATGCAGTGTCATTGTAAGTCAATCCGTTTCGAACAACAGATTTTGGCGCTGAGTTATTTGGTGGAACAAAGTCGTTACGGCTAACAGGCTTTTAAAATCAGGAATAGAATTTGTTTTGAAAACATCACAGCACCCAAAGCATTTCAGTTCATGGAGAAGCTAATCAAAGCTAAATATGTGACCAAATGATTTTATATTCTTGGCCTCCTAAACATGGAAATTAAGAGGGATAATGTTGGTTGAAAACAATGCAAAGTGGTTATGGGTAATCATTTCACATTACTCACTTACAAGGTTAACAGCTGGCGTATTCTGACTAATTATAATTAGGTAGATTCGGAAGAATGAACTTGTGGTGAGGAGATGGGGTTGGCTAAAGCAGTTGCACCTCAGCTGAATTGGTAGTTGAGGCACAGAATTAAAGAAGGTCATGTGAATAGTGTTTCATCGCGCTCACACATTTAACACATTTAAGAAAGTGGTGAAAATTGTGGCTCAGTTGTTTACATGATCAACCTGTGTTAGTGCTGACGTCAGGCCAATCAGAACGATCACCCTATCATCCAATCACATAAACCTCTCAACAATCAGGTAATACACTGGCTCTCACCACTCGCTTCTCGCAAGTAATGCAACTTTCTCATCACAAGGTACTAATCTCTTAGACCCTCCCCGCGACTGATGGAAACACAGAAGCTGAGTACGAGTTTCTACAAGTGAAACAACCACTCTTAACTTATCCCCAATCAGTCTCTCCAACAAGAAAAGCTCGCAGTGTGCGAGTAAACGCAAATTCAACACCTCTGCTCGGGGACATATCAGACCGAATTGTCTTAAAATTGTCAGCTGACAACTTACTTGTGGAGTCTTTCAGTGAATTATACGCTGGAACCTATCGACACTTACATTCGATACCTGGCTTGAATACAGGCTTTCAGGGACCAGAAAGCATAAAACTACAGAGAAGTGTTTCAGAATCACCATTTAATGTTCCCGTGACTGCAATAAGCATGGCAAAGACAAAAGATGGGAACAAGAGCCAAGAACTACGTAGCGAAAATCCGGACGTGTCCATTCTGTGTCCATCGAATTTCCTTTATCCTTCTGGACAAGGTAGTCTCGGTGATACCCTGAGAAATGATTCTATTGAATTGGGGGAGACTGGTCATATCAATTACAGAACAGGTAGTTTTCTCGGAACATTTACGGACCACACAGTGGATAGCAGAAAGAACCGAAAAAGCAACGTTTCTTCCTCGTCACCCAAAAGCAGAAGCGGACAGACGCTTAACGATTACCTGATCTCAAGACAGTTGGACGGGGCTGTTCTACCAGTGGATGAAAACAATAAACAATCATTTGCGAAGGTTGATACTGGTAAGCCGCTGAATCCCAAAGTGCCCATTGAACTATCGAGGACAGCCGAGTTGGACCCTGTTTTGGCACTTCTACAGTCCGACGTATCACAGTTGGATGAATTTCGCAATAATTTTCGCGAACAAAGTACGTTCTTATTACGGTTTCGTTATTTTCAAAGTTATTTTATTATTTCCCATAAGAGTTAACCAAAGTTTAAAGGGCAGGAACTGAGTAAGACTTATTAGCCATGGTGGGCACGATTAATTTGTTCAAATGTCCAATTACTGAATTACTGAATCAAACGGTTTTCAGTCTTCTAAATTCATCAAGTCGAAACAGTTGCCGAAAATTAGTTTCAATGTTACCAAAGCGCTTTTTCCTGTTAATTGCAACTTGAAATTTCAGAAATGATCGCCCGATTAAACTAAACTTTACTTGAACCAAGTGGTGTCACTTCATGAACAAAACTGTATCCTTCCTTTAATTTTTACTTATATAGATATTCCCTTATCAATAATGTAAACGGATGAACTTGTGAAACTGAATGTTTATCAGTTGGAAATCTTGTGTGATGAAGGATATAAGTGCTTAAAAAGAATTCGTAATGCATATTCCTCTTTCACCAAAGAAATCAACCAAAAGACTGTAGAGGTCTTTTAGATTGAAGAAACCAAATGTAATTCATTAAATGAACAAGAGATCACAAACCAAGTGGAAAAAAATATGGGAAGAACTGACGTTTTTAATGCCACATGGATCTTTCCAAGATGAACTTTAGCACTTATTTAGACAGTGACCAGACGGCCAATAGTTGACCTCCATGCGAAGGTGTTTGTTTGTTTACTAGCGACGTCTACTTGTAGATTAGGAGGCTTAAAACAGTATCGTGGCAATGTGATCCAGTAGTAAAGCGAAAACACTAAAATTGGTGCGTATTACATGGGAAGAGAATATCGAATAAATGAAACCTGAGCGATACCTTAAGGTCATTGATTAGACCAAGGCGATTTGTTGGAACTTTGGTAGCAGGAGAGGTCTGTGAGTGGCGAGCAAATCCACAATTATCAATCAACAATCTTGAACAGTGACAAAGATGTCGAAAACAACCACGAGCATTTGTCTGTGTCAGGTCAGCAAAGGAAAACAATGAAGTAGGATTTTTGAACTTGAACTAACATAAGCTTCTTTCCTCGAAGGGCTCTTGGTTCGCGCTAGAATTATGTCAGTGGTATTAAAATTTGCATGGTTAATAGTGTTTGCTCCTAATTGCTCAATGTTCATCTTCGGTTGGTATTTATAAACAAAACTTCGACCAATAGAATTCCTGAGATGAAACGGATTTCCGATTCATCTAAACATTGACCAGAGAGATTCTCCACGTTTGCTTGCTCGTATCTTGCTATTCGAACTTTCTTGTGTCTGTTGCTGGGGTTTCATGCAGCATATTAGTAATAACCCGCTCCCATAAAGCTGTTTACATCGTTATCGAACGCCAAACTCCCTAGATGGATGAAGTCAGGCAAAGTGATTCTTCAGGAGTCTCATTAAGAGAATTCCATTGCGTTCCACAATACGACGTTAAGTAAGGCACCAAAAACGGGGTTCAGTAATGGTATAAAAAGTGATGCATCTCTGACAGCATTTTGTGCAAAACCAACCGTGATTCCCATCCAATCATCTTTCACGGTGATACATTCAACTTTATTCCCAAACAAATGCAAAAGTACTTGATATTCACATATGAGGGCAATTTTCTCATGTATCTCTTGTTAACCGATGTTGTCGGTTTATGCAATTTTAACTCTTGGAGCTAAAATTATTTGTGGTGGATAGACTTTCGTGACATCTTTGTAAATACAAGACAATGGCCTCATATGTGAGTGCTCTGCAAAGTGGATATCAAGAGCGCTGTCAGCTTGTGTTGTAACCATTTTCTGCGCCTACGTGTGACACCTGCTTCAGTTCAATGAATAAAATCACGACCACGCATTGAGTCTGCGTTTAAAAGTTTATATAATGCCTTGGGTGAGAAGTTACGCGCGTTGAAAGTCAACGTTGCATTTGTGTGCGTGAAGCCCCAAAAAAGATCACAATTGCAACGTAATTCTATCCATTTTGTACAGTTTCAACTAGTGCTACAACCGTGAACGCCTTATAGTAGAGTATGTAAAGTACTTTTGACAATATTTTCTCACTGAATGCTTATAGTTTTATTTACTTCTAACATACCGTTGGTTGCTTATCATTTCGGTGCATTTCACATCCAAGGAAAGCGAAGCAGATTTTCTTTTCGAGGCGGGGTTCACGCATGTCAACGCATACGAAGACGGTGTGTCGAATTTAGCTAGCGTATTTTGTTCCAAAACTCATACTTTCAGCGGATTTTCAAAAGAGTTACACCAATTGTCGCGTTAATAGCTTAAATTCCTATTTCACAGATGAAACCAACATAAGCTAAAAAATGCATTGAAACCTTTAACCTTTATCTCAACCAAAGTTGTCAGTGAGATTGAGACGAACATGTAATAATGGCGAACAACAACTGAAAAGCTTACAGTGCTTGCATAGTTGTTTTGCATTGGAACTGTGTACTACTGGTGCCTTCTTGATGGGTCTGATCGCTTTTAGGGTGAACCGAATGCACACATGAAAGTCATCTTATCTAAGCCAGCAAAAGGCTAACTGCACTTTGGGGCCCTTCTTCAAGCGTGTGTGCACTACTGCTCAACTATTAGTCGTGGAGATTCATGGCACCCACATTTGCATCGGTTCCTTTAAAACAAACGCTTGAGCAAAAGACTGGATAGTTTGTGAATAAGTGTCTTAATTTATGCGGATAAAAGGGGACCGATGACTTTATAATTGATAGCATTTACAGTTAAGATGCCAAATTTATATGGAACTTTACTGTTTATCAGTGCAGCAAATGTGGTCTTAATTGCATACAGATTCCTTGCTACTGACAGAACAGCTTTCGATGCACAGCACTATAACAAACATCCGACTTTAATTTATTTAAAATGCCTGTGTTAGCGTGTTTTCGTTAATTAACATTTTTAAGATGAAGACTCAGTTACGGGATGCAAGTTTTGAGGGAATATAAACTTAGGTATGAGTAGCTTCTTACTTTTGCCTGGACTGCATTCCAAATGAAATATCCGTGGTGGAGAGCAGCAAATTCACAGGAGAACTTTAAGTGCAAAGTGGATGAAAAGGTTCAATTAAGCCTAAATTAGTCTGACAAATGTTGAGAACGCCTTTACTGTTTGCAGATATTGCAAGACATGAGTTATGGGTCGACCCATAATGTCGATATACGCGCTGAAATGTTTGAAGCGGTTTGTACCTCAAAGCAAGTGCTATGGTGAACAGGGACTCACCCAATTTTCGAGAATATAATACCTCAGCAAAATATCATGCTCTTCAGCCACCCTCCTAAAGTGAGACCATAATTGCTTAAGTTAGAGGTTGTATCAATCGACGAAGAAGTTTGGGTATTTCCTTATTCAGCCCATTTCAACAACTCTAATTTTGCACATTCGTCCAAAATACACTTAATCACTTGTGCACAATGCAAAAAGTAGACATCTGTCAATTTGTGAATTTGGTGTTTGGTATCGTGTCGTTTACTATTTTCCGCCTTTATCGAACTTTGACATCGCCCCCTCCCCCTGTCTGTCAAACCTGACGGAATTCAAACTTACCTGCTTTGCGAAGTTAAACAGTCTCAAATTTCCAGAGGCTTTTGACAATACATATGCAATATTCCGGTTTATTTTTCAATTTACCCCCAAATGATTCGCCCGCTATCTACGACCACTCAAGCACCAATTCATCCTCGGAATACTGTTGGTTTTTTGCGTGGCGCACTACTGATAGGAATATTTCATTAAGTCATTCTCAATGTACGTCAAGAGTTGTGGCTATGACTTAGCGAATTGGTGGAATACAGGCCAAATGACAGCGAAATCCTCGCCAGAAAAGTCTAAGCTAGCCAAGTACTGGTAAAATCTTGCACGGAGCAATCAAGCTGTAAAGTGAAGTTAAAGACAGACCGAGGTCAACTAAATTTATTTTCTCCCAACACTCAGCACCGTGTAAAAGCAAAATTGACCAGCTTGCAGGTGCTCAACTGAAGGTGATCTCTGAGGCTTGAGCCAAATTGTACCAAAAGAGGGAATCTGAATTTTGGCCGTCTATGAGGCGACAGCAATGATAAGCTATCCACAAACGTTTTATCAAAACGTTGAATTAAATATCCTGGAAGCATTTAGATGAGAGTTAAGTCTGACGACAGCACGTTGACAGTTAAAGTTCTTTCGCTGCCTTAATAAGAGCATCCAAGTCGGTAGCTAAAATTCAACAAGCCATCCGAGTCATCGTCTGTAAAGTGCATTGGTTTCACCCGTGAATAAGCAAAATGCATGGGGGCTGTCATGTGAAAGCCAAAGTGGCTAGGGAGACGAATTTTAACTGGGAATAGCAAGTGATTTGTCTGGTTACACAAATGTATTCTAGCCCTTCATCTGAGTCTATCATCATGCAGTCCATTAGAATAACACTACATTTACAATTTTCAAACAAATGGCTGCAGCCGGAGCTTTCACATTTAAGGTTAATTTGCACCCTTTAAACTGACCTAATGTTGCGTATCCAACTGAAAAGTGGCTGAATCAAAGGTTGCACCCCATTGAATTATAGCAGGAAAAAAGACACTTTCGAAGCCTCAACCTCTGCAAAAGAGTTTCGATTGATTAATACTGCAACGGTTAAATGTTTCTTGAGGGAATCACATTAAACGATGGCGTTAAAGCTTAGAAAACCAAAAAGTTGATCTCGTGGAAGCCGCGAGGGCTAGTTGATACTTCCGCGTAAGTACACTTTAATAAGGCAGATACGGTTCAGACGGGTCAGTAATTTTAGAACTTTAGCCAACCTACTTAACCATGAAGTACTTGAAAGCCACGGGAGTAGAGGATGAGCAAGCGGGCACTTACATTTATGACTAAACTGAGGGAGAATATAGTCAGTAATTCTGCAGTAAAAATACGGCTGGGCGTCAAAAGCTGCCTGATAAACATATTTGGAACGATAAACAGGATCTTGTACTTTTTGTATTTGTGCTTTCTATAAATGACATTTTTTGCTATCATAAACGGCACACAATGACTTGAAGTCACTTGCTCGTTGATTACTAAATAAATTGCCGTGGCGAATAAATGCCACGCGAATGACTTGTAGAAGTTTTTCATCGCGAAGAGACAGCGTTCAAGCACTTTACCAGTCGGATGTAAGGATGTAGTGAAATCGCTAGAAACTAATCAAATGGGGTGGTTAGTCAGTAAGCATAGGAGGAGGAGGAGGAGGAGTGATAAATGCCCAACAGTGGCAATTTACGTGGTTAGTTGCTTGTGATTTAATGCCGTTAACAAGCCTAACTGGCTAGCATCAGAAGGGCAAAGCATTAAACTCTGGACAGAAAGCTTGCGTAAAAGCTA